GGTGCCATTTAAAAATCAAAAGTTGTAGTCATTTCCGGTGGAACAGGAAGTGACCGAAAACAATGGAATATATCAATCAATCCTAATTTATGTCATATACTAACATACCAAATCTGTTTTTTTTTATCTGAAAAAATAAAAAAGTTATAGGGGGTAAGCCACTTTTGAGACGCACCCGGTATATGGCGTTATCCAAACTACCTAAAGCATTCGGATTGACAGATCTGAAGACAGGGTATTTTCCTCATTTATTTAATACTGTAGGACAGCGTTTCTTAAACAAATCAGTTTTCGGAACAAATCAGATATGTAGTGTGTATGTGTTCAATCTAGAATTCCATGGCAGTGTTAAGAACACTAATTTATAAACAAGGAGCTTTGAAAAAATAGATTTGACCATCTAATGTTTTAGTGTGTTGTCCTGGCCGGTTAAAAGATTTCCAAACCAAATCGTATTTTCAATTTTTCTCAATGTTTTCAAATGGAAGGAGGGTGGCTCTTCGGGTGGCTCATTAGCATATTTGGAAAAAGTATTTTTTAATGAATAATTTGCTACCACACACTTGATCGAGTCAAATTGTCGTTATGAATCGTATGTTCCAATTTCAAATAAACCATGTTCTAAAATGTCAAAAGTTGACATATGATCTGTCAATTATAGTCTGACTATTCAGAGCGTCATTTTCTATCGAATAAAGTAGAAAAATACCGAAGATGCCATTTAAAAATCAAAAGTTGAAACATGAAAGTGAAGCAGGAAGTGACCTAAAAGAATTGAATACGTCAATCAATCCTATTTTATGGCATATGCTAACATACCAAATCTCGTTTTTTTTATCTAAAAAAAATAAAAAAGGTATAGGGGTGAGCCACTTTTGAGACACACCCGGTATAACACATAAGGAAGCATACATTGATAAGCATACATGTTATCTTTCTGTTATAACGTCAGCCTTATCTTCTTAACCACAAATTTTATGAAAATATAATTATTTCTCTGTTTGCCACCATAATGGACGCATTATACTATCTCGTGCAAAGAACAAATTTCTGTATGTGGGTGGTGTTCATATTTTTAACCTCGCAGGGCAATGAACACATTCACATTTTCGAAAATGTGTTTGGTGTTTGAAAACATTCGGAAAGATGGGTACGTATAAACGGACATAAATGTAAATTTAAATTTAAATGTTTATGTGAAAAGGGTTTAAATGTGATATTGAAGAATGGTGTAAGTGTTAGATGGAGTTCAGTAAGTTCATATTTTTAAGTCCCCTGTGATTCGTTTGACCTATACCTACTGGGTAAATTCGTTTGTACTTTTGGTAGGGTGCCTATAGAAAAAAATTATTGTAGTTAAAATGGGTTACATCCTCGTCTTTTGGTTTGTACCAATCTTAAATTAATTTTATTTCCTCGTTATACCACCATATATTTTAACCACAAGCAAAATTTTTTTGGAAAATTTCAATTTGAAAAACGGTAAAGAGAAAATATATTTCTTTTATCGAGATCAACCAGCCCTGAAAATATTTGCACTTATTTAAGACTCACACGGTATATACCGCAATTTAAAAGCAAATTTTATTTTGGGATGTTTTCTAATAACAATTCATAATAATCGCAACCAACAAAAAATGCCACGAGTTCAGTACAAATTAGAATTTCGAAAAATAAACTCTTACGACTATTCTGCAAAACAATTGATAAACTGATAAAGGGTTGTTGTGATACATACATACAATTTGCACCAAATTTAATGAGTTTTATTTTTTACACCAAATATAATAATATTCCAACAGCGCTTTCAGATGGAGGGAAGCGTCCGTGCTGTTCGTCCACGTGTTTTTTTCAAGATCGCCATCGGACGAAATCATCCGGACGGAGCATACACGACTTATGTGAAATTGTTCATATAAACTCATGGTACTTGCTCGAAGTCGCGGACGGTCCGCTCCATCTGAAATGTTGTTAATATTAACAAAATGATGAATGTGAATAGATGATATATATTTTCTTATTTTTTTAATCAATTATTCAATCTAGACAAATGGCGAATGCGCTAATAAAACATTTTTAATTTTGATAAATTATTAAATCTTGACAAAATGGTAATATCTTGACTAATGGCGAATACGTTAGTAAAATATTTTAATATTAGCACAGATATTAGTCAATCTAGACATACTGGTGTACTAGACAAAATGGTGAATGCGCTAATAATTAAATATATTTTTAATCTAGACATAATGATAAATGCTTATGATCTGTATCTTGACAAATGGTGAATGTGAAAATAGGTTTAGGTTATGGGGCAAATTATGGGGCCTATATGGTGTTGGGAGCGAAGCCTGTGGAGACAGTATACTTTGAGACAGCATTAAATGGTCTTGGCCCCCTTCAGTGTCCTTGTTTGGTGGGTAATAGGTGACAGGTCTAACAAACGTTTAACGTTTGACAGATGATGTATGAAATTGACAGACGACGTATTTGACAATTGACAGATGACCGGGTGGATTGCCGGATGCTTAGAGAAATGCGCCGTTGCGAAATGGTAGATTTAGGGAATTTACATATACCCCATATTTTTAGATTTACATTGAGTGGGTCGCTATGGACATAAAAATTTCCCTAAATTTAGAGAGAAAATAGGGTTGACCTTAGTCTAAAGGGACCCTATATCTACTATAGGTATAAGGTAGAAAATAAGTATAGAAAATAAGTATAGGTAGACCGATACGTATTGATATATCCATAATTTTGATTTTATCGTTAACTATCGATAGTTATTGATATATCGGAGAAAAATCCAATTTATAGTGGCCATCACATCATGTCTGTTGTATTTTTGAAAAATCATGGATGTGACATTTCTTGATAATATGGCAGCATATGTAGTAGATTAACTTTACAAGTAAGAAAACTAACATTTTTTTTAATTTTCAAAGTTACATTTCAAAATAACACAACTCGGTTATTTTGGACTTACTTGAAAAACGGTAAAGGGGAAATATGTTTCTTTATTTAGATCTAGTAGCTCTAAAAATATTTGTACTTATTAAATACTCACCCTGTATATCCTCATTTTACAATAACCTATATCTTTATTTTCTAAATAATATCTATACTTTTGTGATTATTTTGCCACTGAAACAGAAATCCCAAAAAACAAAAGAAGAAGGAGAATTATTAAAATTATTCTGCAGGGTGGTCCGGAAAAATTCCGGCATATTCTGCAGATAAAAATAAGTAAAAAAGTTCGTATAAATGTATGTCCTAAAATTTTAAGTTTCGGAGATAGAGGGTGTAGAAGTTTCATTTTTATTTCGATTTTTTCCAAATAATTTCTGAAGTAACGTCAATATTTGGATGAAAATTTGTATCTGGGAGTTTAATTCTGATGTTAATATAACTCCTATTTGTAGGGGGCGCCACCTACATGTGTTTTAATTTTTTTAGAGACTTTTTGTCCGTACCTGTATAAAACTCCTGAGTGAAAAAATATACATTTCCGTGACTTTTTACGTAAAAAATGTCCCTTGGTAAAAATCGCAACCAGCAACCGTTCTCAGGATATTTAGATTGGAAATAGTCAATACCTGTCATTATTGACAAAAAATAAACACGTAAGTACACATAGATAGATAGTTATTTGACTGAAATAATAAATTTGGGAAATTTTTATTTTTTTAAATTAATCATAAATTCCTTGCGGAAAAATGATGACAAAAAACAGTTCCTGTTGAACTTTTGACACAAAAACATTTCAAATTTATGATTTCAGTCTAATAACTATTTGGTCAACATGTTTAATAATAATTTATGTCATTGATGACTGGTATTGATAATTTTGATTCCAAATATCTCGAGAACCATTACTGGTAGCGATTTCTACCAAGAGACATTTTTTACATAAAAGTCACGGTAATGTATATTTTTTTATTTAGTATATTTATACAGGTACGGACAAAAAGTTATTACTATTCAAAACAGTTAAAACACATGTAGGTGGCGCCTCCTACAAATAGGAGTCATAATGACATCAAAATCAAATTTCTCATGTCAAAAAACTCCCAGACGCCAATTTTCATCCAATCATGGACGTTACTTCAGAAATTATTTGGAAAAAATCATTGGAAACTGTTCATTCAAATATTCACGAACTCCTCTTCTGAAATTCGGTGGAGCTCCGTCATGTAGAAACCACATATCCTGCCTTTTATATCCAACATTTATTGGAACATCTTCTAATAATTCTGGCAGATGGTGTCGAAGAAAATCTAAATAAATGTCACCGGTTAGCCGAGCTGGAAAAAGTATGGTCCAATAAGGCATGCCATTTACTACACCAGTCCAAATATGTAATGAAAATCTATGTTGGAAATTAGATCTTATTACGGCATGCGGATTTTCTACTGCCTAAACATGATTGCTGTGAAAATTGTGTATATCATTTCGTGTAAATGTGGCTATATCTGTAGCTAAAATTAGTTTCGTAAAATCTTCATTTCGGTTCAACTGTTGTAAAAAGCACTGGCAAAATTCAACTCTTCTAGGATGATCTTCAGGTTGTAATGCTTGTACCTGTTGATAATGGTAGGGATAATATTGTTCCTGTCGTATTGTTTTCCACACTTTACTATGGGAAACATCGACTTGAGTTGCTATGGCTCTGGTACTTATTGTTGGGTCATCTTCCACCATTTCCAAATATTTGCCTCAATTTCTACCATTTCAGGTGGAGCAGGTCTTCCAGCGTGACACCCTCGTTCTTTCAAGCATCCTATCTCACGAAGTTGAATAACTAAATTTACAAACATCCGTGGGACCGGATTATTTCTTAAAGGAAACCTAACCTAACCTAACCTAATCGACTTCTTTTAACGAGTTCTACAAGCTGTTAAAATAAAAGACTCAACTTTGAAAACACCCTGTATATTTTTATGTATTTTTTTCTTAATTTTTTTTCGTTTCATTAATATATTTTCTTATTGTTTCAGGACCGAAAACAGACTACTAACCCAGGAAGAATACCAACACTTAATCAATTCAATTAATTAAACAACAAAACAATTATTTAAGACTAAATCATGCTCTTTAGATTTTCTGGTCCATCCATCCATGTTATTTGTTACATTACATGACATTACTGCCTAAGCATAAGCATAATCGAGAATAGAATTATTTTTAAGATTTTATACTTGTTTTCTAGTCTTAAAAGAATATTATTAATGATAAAAATAGGATAGGTAATACTCATTTATAAGTGTAAAATAAATGTCAGAAACATTCAACTGTAACTACATATAATGAAAAAAGCATTGGGATACTTTTAATAACAATAATTTTCTACTGTTGCCATATACTCGTATTGATAATTTTGTTTTATTATACATACTTTATAACTATACTTTAAAAAACTATTTTTTTTTATAAATAACAAAAATCTGTGGTTTACCCCAAATAACAATTTATCTACAAATTCTTTTTTGGCGGATTTAATACTTTTTTTCAGTATTTAATAGGGGAAAGGATCCTAAACCGTACCGCTTTGCACAAAAGTTAAAAAAATTACCAAAATTTTCGGACTGCCTTTGAATCACTTCCACACAGAAAACTATCACTTTTTCAAGAGCCTTGCATGTTATACGAACAGGTTGCCGAAGTCGTACGTACCAGGCAGCTCCATTTTAATAAATTTGTGGGAATTCGAAAAAGAGCTGCTCGGTTCTTGCTGCAATCCCACAGCAAGGCAGCTTCAACTAACGTCGCCTTTTATGTACTGTTATATTGAGAGAACTGATTGTAGCGGGAAACGATCGGCCTATCTTTCATTAAAAATCTCATTTTCGAAAAAAAGTGGAGCTGCCTGGTTATTGCAGCCACCCCTTCAATTGCTCTAAATGTCGTCACCTCTCTACCTATAATATCGTCCCAATTTTCGTCATATCTTCTTATTCGTCTTTATATGTCTCATTTCACACAAAAACCATTGTTTTTTACAAGTTTATTTAGGAATTGCGACACATTGCAAAAAAAATAAAACATAAACTATTAAATAATTAAAAAAATAAGCATACAAAATAAAATATTATTTAAGAATATCTCCGATATAAGCTCAAAAATAATGCAGATATTAGCATTTTTAAAATCATAATTATTTTACAGAAAGCCTATATAGGTATATAGCTTACATGGCTAATGGCCTAAATTCCGTCGCAGATATCCAGTTCTCGTCATCCATTTTTAATTGTTAATTTAGGTAGAGTTAATGATAAAAGTGGGTGACGAAAATTGGGTACTTCATATAGCCCATCTTCATACTATCATTTATGGGAAAAATATTTATGGGAAAAATATACAGAAAACTGAATTGTATACTGATTAAAATAACTCTGCCTATAATGACCCAATATTCATCAATGATGACGATAATACAGCACGCTCCGTTGCGACATATTTTTTATATAAATACATATAAAATCACTTATTGCCATAAGTAATCTAAATGTTAGAGTACAGATCCAAAGAATCTTTGATATATGTATTATTTCTGCAAGCACTGGTGCTACTTGAAAAGGTTCTTAAGTATTACTCGAAGTTTTATTAGGCTTACTAAATATACCACAAGTTTTCTGGTTGGTTGGTTATCAGTTATAAGCAATATTTTCAAGATATACAAAGTTGTAGCCTTCGAGGAAACGATTCCTGGTCCTATAAAAAGCCATACAGCGGTATAGAAAATATAGAATAATTTCCCCTTTTTTAGGGTCTTTGCCACTTGCTCCTGGCATGCTCACCAAGTGTCTCGTATATTCCACCGCTCGCCTAGCGATATACTTACTCAACTTTTAGGTGTCTAGCAGAAGCAGTTATAAACTAGATATTGATGAGGTACGATTTAGGAGCTGGTACAGTTTAGGCGAAACCATGGCGAAACGTTCCCCTATAATTATCTTTGTAGATAATAATGTTTTTTGTTTTTTGGTACATGGTAATACAGATTAAGATGCCCTGAATTTTTGAACCTAAAACATAATTTTTGTTAAATCTCCTTATGCTTAAGTAGAACAGATTATAATAAGACATAAGATAATAATTTTTAATTCTATGTAAGTAGCATGATAAGCATCGGTGTCAAGATAATAACTTGTAACTGTCTGTAACCAAATAGTTGTAAATATAAACAAATCGTTATGAGTTATATTTTTTATTTTTATAAATTAATTTTGTTCTTAGGAAAGGATATTTAATTTAGAAGAATAAAGAAATATTTAGATAAAAACGTAATTCCTATACCATTAAAATTTAAAGAATACTTTTTTAACACTAAATTTTTGAATAACTTCTATGTAAATATGGTGTAATATTTTAAAAATTTCGCATATCCTAAAAATGATATCACATCTTGATATATCAATTTCAATTATATCGGTCAATGCTCGTACATTTCTTTCCTACATATCTTTAACATGTGTAAATATAAATTTAAATAATTAAGGCTAATTACATTACAGATATCTTTTCTTAAGACCACATCAGATTAGGAAGTGAGAATTTTGTATAAATTAATTATTACAAGTGTAACCTGTATTTTTTTATGTCATAATATTACATTTTCTTAGTTTAGTACAATTATATACAGGGTGATTCACGCGGCCATGGTACTTTAGATATTTATGGAGAACCGGTGATTTTTTTGAAAATTTGGATTTTTGAATAAAGGCACCTGCTCCATATTTGTATCAATTATTTTCAGCGTTACACTGTTGCTACTTCATACTAAAAGTGGCAGCATTTTTGTTATTTTAAATGGAACATCTGGTAGACATTATGGTATAATATTAACAACCATGACATGAGTTTTTTGCTACATATTTCTAAAATTGTCAACTTAACCAAATTCTTGAAATGAAACTGTAATAATAGAATTATTTTTTTTTACATATTTATACTTAAAAACTGGAAGGTTTATGTATAGGAACATGATATATCGTTGGAAAGTAATTTTATTAGTCTTTTGATTTTTAAAAAAAATATACATAGGCTTGAATTTAATATAATAAAGTTTTGGGCAATTTTATAATAAACGGATATAAATATTTTTTGTGCTCTTCCTGTGTAATATCAAATTGGTTGATTTAGAGAGACCGAATCTATCGACTTTCGTTAACTTATACGACGAATTTCAACTTTAAAAATGTTCAATTCATGATTTTTCCAACTTATTCAAGACTACTATGCATACGAAATCTAACTGAAGAATAAAACTTTGGCTTAATATTTATGTCATGCACAAACAACTTTTCAATTCTTCATTTTTGCAATGCAAACATTGTAATAATTTTAATTACAAAGTATATGGGCATTTAAGGTGATAAAAGTGTCATAAGTTTAGTTTCTCCAAGCAGTAAAGTACCAATTTTTTAATTTAAATGTGTATGGCTTTTGTACGAGAACCAAAATCCTGGTTCACTGTGTATGAATAAACTAAGGAAACGTTTTAAGCTCTGTGACATAAATATTTTATAAATATACAGGGTGTATTCAACTAAATAATACATTTTTAATCACCATATATCACTAAATTTAGATGCAGGCTTTTATAACAACAGTTTTAGTTACCTACATATAACACAACTGCCAGAAAGTTCATATAAACCCTAATATAAGTTTTTCAAAAACCACACCCTAGAGAACACCCTATATATTAACACAGTAGTGATAACACAATATTATGATATTATTTTTATTATTAAATAAAACTAATATTTGCGAAATATATATAGTGTTAAGTGTTTTGTCAAAAATAATGCATAAGAAATATTTTTCCATGTTGATATATTAGTTAAAAATATTATGGCTTTTTATAATTTTATTTGTACTTGTCTGTATTAGTAATGTAATATATAATTAAAATAAATACTGTAAAGCATACTGCTGATATTTAAATTATTATTTTTAGTATGTAACTAGTTAAAAAGTAAATTATACTTAAGTTAGGTAAATTGATTTTATATATTATTTACATTAGATCTATATCTAAACTTTTTGTAACTCAAAAATTTGCCGTTTTGAAAATGAATGAGTGAAGTGAGCTTTTACATTACTTTATTATTAAAGGGAAATAATAAACGTTTGCATAAATATTTAAATAAATATATAATATTGGCTTAAAAAGAACTCATCAGTCATCGACCTAACAACGAAAATTTTGAAATAAAAAAATGTTCAATTTTGTTTAGACATATTCCTTAAAGTAATGTACCTAATTGAAGTGTTAATTGTTTTTTTTTCTAATGTTAGGACTGTATGAATCATAATTGTATGTGCGTACTATATATGTATAATAAAATCATACGTGGAAACAATAAACAAAGATTAAAGAATTAAGTTTTTGTTTATTTATTTATTCATTGATAAAAAACAAGATGAACATCACCTATAAATTTTTTTATCGCCGTGTTAATATAATTGATAACATTAATTTACCCAATCTATAGAAAATATACCGGGTGGTGCATAATCGTTGGAAACAGAAAATCCCATGCAAATTTTGAACTGTCCAAATATTGACCTCTCTGTTGATTTTACAGCGAAGTCGTAAAAAGCTTTTTTAAAGATCTGCATATGAAGAAAATAAAAACACAAATATAATTCATTTAAATATCAAAATTACCGAGAAATACCGTATGATCGAAAAAAAAACGGCGTCCAGTTGGCTGGGAAACGACAATCCATGAAATTTCCCATATATAAATTTACATATAAAATGACAGCGATCTTCATTTCATAGCCAACGCTGACGCCGTTTTTTCTCGATCATACGGTACTAGAAAGGGACGAGGAACGGCAGTATAATACGTTGTGTTTTTGAAATAGTATTTTTGCCAAGCGTTTTAGTGGAGGAGTAATGGGGGTAATTACCCCCCGTAGACCGATCAAACTGCAATAAAATAATTTAGTAAATTTTACATTAACTTAAACGTCAAATTAAAAATTCCTCTTTAGAGCAATTTATTGTTATACCGGATGCGTCTCAAAAGTGGCTCACCCCTATATAACTTTTTTATTTTTTCAGATAAAAAAAACAAGATTTGGTATGTTAGTATATGACAAATTAGGATTGATTGACGTATTCAATTGTTTTTGGTCACTTTCTGTTTCACCGGAAATGACTACAACTTTTGATTTTTAAATGGCACCCTCAGTATTTTTTTTTACTTTATTGGATAGAAAATGACATTCTGAAAAGAATGATATATCATATGTCAACTTTTGACATTCTCGATTAAAACTAAATTAAATTTTAAAATTAAATCTAGAGTACCATAATTATGTTAAAAACATTAATTCTTACTCAAGAGGCCTTGGAAAAATATATTGGATCGTCTAATGTTTTTAGTGTCTTGTCCTGGCCAGTTAGAAAATGCTCAAATCGTATTTTTAATCATATCTCATTTTTTTCAAACGGAATGAGGGTGGCTCGTTAGCATATTGGGAAAAAGCATTTGTTTACGAATAATTTGGTACCACACACTTGGTATATAAAGTCAAATTTTCGTTACGAAACGCAAGTTATAATTTCAAATAAACCATATATATGCGAAAAGTTGACATATGATATGTCATTCTATTCATCGAGTGTTATTTTCTATCGAATAAAGTAAAAAAATACCGAGGGTGTGATTTAAAAATCAAAAGTCATCAATCTTAATTTCCAACAAGCAAAATTTTTATTGCTGGAATATTGCCAAAACTTCGCAAAGCAAGGTGTAACATTGCTTTTTTCATTGTAGGGAGGTTTATGCAAGGTTTCAGGGTAGCTTTATCTTCCGCCAAATAACATTGCAATGCAAGGTTACATTTCACAATATTATTGAAACGTTGCTAATATAACGTTCAAGAAAGTACTAATTTGGGATGTATTAGCAATATTGTTAATTTTACATCAATACAATATTGGTAAAATTATATTATTAATTATAATTAACTAACTTATTGCTAAAATAATATAGCAAAAAATAGATAATGTTTGCACTAAAAAACCATTTCATTCATCAGAGGGAAAATATAAAAGTTATTTTTTAATATTTACTTATCAATTAATGAAACATTATTATTAGTAGAAACATTAATGGATATTAAATTGTAGATAAGATAGGTATAATATACTTTTACTAATATTGTATTGACGAAAAACATAAACAATATTGATAAAAATATGTAGGTATATCTCTATATCCATTGACTTAGAAAAATTAAAAAAGAAATTTATCACTTATTTGTTTCAAAAATATCAAAAATACTGTCAAGTACTGAGAACTTACTGATCTTTTCGGCTGCTCATTGAATAAGGAATTACTCAACTCTGACCTCCGAGTCGAATTTCTAAAAAAAAATCTTAAAGTTGAATGTCTGAAATAATACAAAATATATAGGTACGGTATAAACATTATTTTATATTTCTTATTCAAAAATACAAAAGGAAAGTATAACATTAAATGTATGTATGTAGAAGGAAAAGCAAACTTATAGTTTAATTGTCTTCGCATGTTGAATTGTCTTATTCATGGTTTCAAGTTCTTCTTCGGTAAAGTTTTGAAATCTATATCCAATCATTTCTAAAGTAATAAACATAAAAACAATCAGTTGTCATAAATAAAGCAATGAGAAACTTACCTCTTGTGACAGTAATCTTTGAAGCCCCTTTATGTCCTTATTTTAAAAATTTCAAATGATTCATCATTAAAAAAATTGCTACTTTCCCGTTTGGGAGGTGGGTTCAAAATTGTACCTATATAAAACACCAAATTTTAGTTCAATGTAATTACACAATAAAACACAAATTAACAAGACAGACGTTTATTCAGATGTAGGGTAGCTCATCATTTGAAACAATACAATTTAAAATGGTTTAAATAATTATTACAATAATATAGAGAAATTAAAATGACTATATTATAAATTAAATATTTGCAATAATTGGTAATACTGGTTACCCGTTAGATGACCAGTTAGTGTAACCTAGACTAAAAAAAATTACCTACTCTACTAAAATTTAATATATATGAAAAACGGGGTACCCACGATATAAATGATACTTAAATTACTAAATAAATGGTCTTTACTAAAACTAATCAGAAGCAACAAAAAAATAGGTACAATATTTATTAAGTACGCAGGAACGAGAGGGAGCTAATAAAGAGTTTGGTACTTAGCTTTTATTCGTAAGGGTCCCAAAAATCCCCTACGCCCGGATCTGCCGCACAAACAAAAGGCCCAACCACGTGGCTTCCCCTTAGCTTATCTGTTGGTTTGGAACGTCTAAGGTTTGAACAGGAACCTCGCTAGCCAGTCGTGAAAACCCTCGTGGAATCAAGTTGGTGCGTAAAAGAAAAACCAAACCAAGGTGCCCAAACTGTGGGCGATTTCCTTGGAAATAATACAAAAGATGCGACGCTATTAGTTTCGTCTCAATCCAGCCGTAGTTGTATGATATAAATAATATCAATTAAACGTAGAGAATTATTAACCTTTCCCAAAATCAAATGAAAGGATTTTTCACTCAAAACGTGACTTCACTGCCAGCGTGCCGAAAAGAAAAGAAAAGGAAATCACCAGACAGGTGGGCGCTTGGAATTTTAATCTCGATACCCCCTCCTGTTATAAATTTAGCTATAAAATCCCTAGGTACATCCGCAACCAGTTAAGTGTAGTTGCCAGGAGTAATCCGATAATAAAAGAAACTTAATAATAAATCAAACAATAATAATAAGTTAAATGCAATTACAACTAGATACAATTGATAAGAATTTAAGATCATTAATAAATAAAAGTATTAAAATAAGTTAAACACTAAAATTAATTATTTAGAGACTAAATATGAATGAGGTGAAATATGATTTAAGAAAACTTCAAGAAGCTGGCAACACCGTTAGACC